TTTTTTCGGCTTTTCTCGGGTGAACTTGATATACTCTGACTGTGCGTTTAACAATTCGAAACATTTGTCCATTTCCTCTTGTGTTGAGCAAAGGACAAAGCAGTCGTCTTCATATCTACAGTAGAGTAGCCGCCCGAGATCAGTCACCGGTGCTTCCACCTTAGACATAAATGCAATGGCAAGGCTTGGAGCCAGTCGTTGTCCCATTGCCAACCCTCTTATTTGAGCGTTGTACTTTCCGGACCATCTGAAGAATGAGCAGCTCAAGCATTCTTTTAAGAGTGCCATCAACTGCTCTATCTTGAAGCCATACATGTTTATTTCTTTTTCTTGTTGTAGAGGAGTTCGAATATGGCTTGCATTGCGAAGTCATTAGACACGTTTGTATAAAGGGCAGTAACGTCGAAGGACTCCTGAAGGCTCTGAAGAAGGCGATACTGCCGAAACGCCAGCCAGCGTTGTATTGTATTGTGTTTTTATGGAAGTAAATGTATGCTGTTTAAAAACCTCGCGATTGCTGAACAAGAAAACGACACATTCATATTCCAATGCCGAGGTTAAGAGAAAGTCGATCCTGGGAACATTCCAGCCCATTCTACGAATACCCAAATGTTTCTGGATCGTCTACGTACTGCGCGGCCCAGCAGCGCGTACGCGATGGAGTCCTTCGACGTTACTGCCCTTTATACAAACGTGTCTAATGTTCAGCTGTGTTCAACATGGTTGAAATCTTGGTTTAGAGTTTCTTTGTTTGGTTATGGAGGCGTCTGGTCGAGTAGATTGCTGTCAACTTGACCTTTCCAGGCTCTGAGGAAGGCGAAATCCGCCGAAACGTCAGCTTATTCGTGAATAAAGAACAATAACACCTCGCGTTTGCTCAACAAAAATACGAAGAATTGCTATGAACATGCTAGGCCGGGTATCCAAGGATTTTGACGAAAGTCAACTTGACCACATAACGAAGATTGAAAGTCTTCAAGCAGAGGTCGAACACCCATAAATCCCACTTCTTCGTGGATGATGGCTTTAGGGAAATGCGTAGAATAAGAGAAGTTCTTGGTTCAGCATAATATGTGATTTCGGACCACATATAGAACCAATATCACAAGTAAATGACCCACACGCTCGTGTCACGTCGGTGGCGATAAAGTAATCGAAGAATCCTTGAATAGTATAGGCAACACATGATGAAACTTGGACAAATGAAGGAAACCGACATCAGGTGAGATACCTAAACTTGGTTACTATAAATAATTTGGTGATAAACACTATTAATATATGAGAACTAACAGTATTCCTTAGACGATTAAGCTAAAGAAATAATAGTAACAACATTAATGATATAACAAGCAATAAATGCTAATTGCGCTAGTTTATATGTATTAATATTTTCAGGAATTCTACACAAGAGCTTGTTTATCACTGACCAGAAATCTACAAAATACATTTAGTGCGCATTGATTTCAACACAAACATCTTCATTAATAGAACTGCCGCTCAACTTTAAAACCACATGCGCACTCATAGCAGGCCTTAATTTAACTCCCACGAACTGTAAATACGAAACTGTAGCTCGGGACTTAACTTTTCTGCCACTTTTTAATTTAATTTTTAATGTCACTTAATTTTTCTTGTTAGTCTAACTCAAAGGAAAGCACCACTATGACATTTCACAGATATTGAAAGCAGAGCGCGTGTGGCACACTGGTTGGAGGCCCCACCGCGACACACGAGGAAGTGGTCCTCACGCGCATGGCTCACCAAGCCTCCCATCCCTCCGGGACCGGCAAATTGGCATCAGACTTGTCTGGGGGGATAGCAGCATTGACTCGATACATCGGTAGGCCACCACGTGTCATTGTAAAGGCCGGATATGCATTCAAGTACCTCCATCGATACTTAATGAAGTCGAATGTATGGCGCATCTCTCAGGGATTAATCAACGCCGAGAGCTTTATCCTTCATCCTTTTAAAACGATACCAGTAGTTTAGAAGAAAATACTGATAACATAGAAAAATGATAAAACGAAATTTGTTTAAAGTGCATGTGTGTTAAAGGACTTTGCGACATTCCTATCATCATTACTTGAAAAGGAGAGGAACAATATCCACACTCCTGAAGAAACGCACGATCTTCAACACAATTTCCATCTTGCCGAACTTCTAACCTTTTCTGCTAGTCTCCAAGGATTTTCCCCTGAAAAATGCCCAGCAACAATGCGAGTTTTTTGCAAGTAAACATCTTGAGCAAGCAATGCTACCCTTCGTGGAGCAGCGTGTCTTCTAAACGAGAGATCCAATTCGGGCATATTTTCAGACTGAAGAAACAGATCATATCTAGGGTGAATGTTATGAAAAGTATAGTGGAAAAAAAATGTTAACTTTGGCTTGGTTCATGGGTTCACGTGATCATAGCGAAGTACCGGTGTTTTTCGGAGAGCCAGCATCAATGTACAATTCCAAAAATTTTTGCGTGAATTTATAAAGAAACCCATATAAACAGCTTTTGCTTTTTGCTCATCTCAGGTCACTCCCGTAAACGGGTGAAAGCACCGTTAAAGGAAAAATATGCCGAGAGAAATTGAAAACAAGGACTTCCGTTGGTGTGATGGATAGCACGTCACCCCCTCGTATGGTTAATCTTGGGTTCAAACTCTAACTGATGTTACGAGTTTTGCTCATATTTCAGCATCACTGTTGTTGTCCTTAATAACTCACCTTGCCATGAAAGAAGAATACTTAGTGCACAAATGTTAAATCACACAACAAGCATAGACATTGAAGCTTTTAAAAATAAACATTTCAAAGAATGAATAGAGTAGAATCAACGTTGTTTGAATCGACTTTTCCTCTACTGACCAAAACAAGTGAGCTTGTCACATTCAATTCCATGTATTCCCTGTCCACGAACGTGACCTGATTACGACCGACGACTGGCATAATATAAGCGAACGGTAGGACCCAGTGTGCACACACAACAATCCATCGCTTACTGGAGTTCAACCACTGAAAAATCGTACTAATCTCATAAAATTCGTTTTGATTCGACGAATATGATTTGTTTTCCAATGCTCGCGCTTTTTAGCTGCGCTAACTGTGGTACCTCCAAAGCACTGCCAAAAACAGTGACAGTAAAAGACCTTCAATCGTGTACCTACACGTTGTGTGAGCTAAAAAGAAGCCTACTTTTCTCTAGTAGTGTGTGGACAAGTACCGTGACCATAATATCTCCAAATTCATTTTGTCACATCTACCGAAAAAAGTCACTTGTTTAAAAACTTTTGTGTGCTTCATATTATTTCGTTTTGTAACTTTTAACAACATAGGACTCCTCTGGCGCAATAGTTGGAGGCTCCACTGCGACACAAACGCGGAATTGATCCCCGCGCCCATGACCCACCAAGCGTCCCATCCCTCCGGGGTTGGCAAATTAGTACCAGCCTTATCTGGGAGGATATCAGCACTGGCTCGATCCACTGGTAGGCTACTGCGAGTCATTGTAAAGGCCCGATATGTATTCAGGCACCTTCAACTATACTTGATGAAATCGAATGCATGGCACATCCCTTAGGGATCGATCAACGCCGAGAGCTTTATCCTTTTGTCCTTTATAACTTTTAAAAACATACACTATACATTAAATCACCAATGCAGACGAGGAATTCTAAAGTAGGCTGACTCTTAGCCCTTTTCCATTTCGGAAGTGTTGAACTCAGTGTTAGCTATAGAGAGCCTTCGTGTGAGTAGACCATGGCAGCACAGAGAAATTCGGTACCAAAGAATACTCTACAGCATCGATGAGCTGATAAAACAAAGTTTTGTTATTCTCATAGTATTTGTACTTGTAATACCTTCCTATATATTCCTTGCCTTTCTCTTTTACTTTCCTGTATCCATATATTTCACTTTTACTCACATGTTCAGTAGCTGATCCGCTGCAACACATCGTGACGTATCGTTGAAAGGTAATAAGAAGAATACCAAGTATGCGTAGTACTTCAAAAGTGTAGTACTGAGTGAAGCACCACGTTGCAAGGTAGTACATTTGATAACGCCAATAAAAATTGTCGAAGAGATGGCTTATTCGCAAGGTGACAGAAAACGCATAGTTTGAACATGCGATAAGATCGGCCAAACCCTGAAAACAAGAAGGAGAATTCAGAAGCACAGCACCAAAACTCAAAACTGCTTTCCTTTGGACAAACGAAAATTAATCACTTTCCAAATAGACGCCTTTTAAGCTATGCTGTATTACTGCATTTTTATTTCGAGATATGTCGAAATGAATCAAATCCCTAAATTATCGCTTAGGCAATGAACAATCAGCGAAATGGATTTAAGCATAACCTCACTATTTCAAACAGTTTTTAAAACATACTAGCACGCCGGAAAAAAGTGATCCCTGTTCTACTTTCCATTTTCCTCATGATCTTCCTCAAGAATCATCCACGTACATTCTGCCATTCGTCCGTCCTATTTAGATCACCTTCGTTGACAGAGGAACACATTTGAGTGCGACTAGTTCCCTTGATTTAGTCAGTAGAGGAAACCATATGTCAATACCCCTTCGAATAGATTTTTATTCCATTTACTCCTTAAAACATTTTCCTTTGAAAGTGTTTATATCTACGTTCACACGGGATCCATAACAAATTTACGCAAAAATTTTTGGTCTTCGACATTTCCTTAATATGTCGAGCCACTGGTGCTGCCGCAAGTCTGAGTTCGCATTCGTAGCAATACATTTTCAAAATTATTGTTTTGATACTTGCTGTTCTAAGCCTATATAAAAGTTGCCAAAAATGTAATTTGTATTGACATTCAATTATACGGAGCTAAAGTGCATGAAACAGATTACACGCAATATTGCCATAACATGAAAACAAGAAAGAATAAAGCTCTCTACGTTAATCAATCCTTAAGAGATTCACCATTCATTCGACCACATTAGGCACCGTTGGAAGTGATCGAATGCATATCTGTGCTTTACAATGATTCGCGGTACCTTACCGATGTATCGAGCAAGTATCTCTATTTTCCTAGACAACCCTGGAACGAACTTGCCAACCCCGGAGAGATGAAAGCCTACATTATGCACATTATGCTTCCATGTGATTTCTGTGCGGTTGGTCTCTACGTGACATACTTAGTGGAAACCTCATAGAAAGCGGCTCTAAGGAAGGCGAAATCCACCGAAACGTCAGCTTATTCGTGAATAAGGAATAATAACACCTCGCGTTTGCTCAACAAAAATACGAAGAATTACGTGATCAATGCCGAGGTTAATAGAAAGTCGGTCGTGGGAGTTCTCACCACTGTGTTTTCTGCACCCTAAATATAATGACATCGAGAATTTGTCAACATAATCGATCAGCAGAGAACGTAAAGATAATGCAGCCGTGTTGATGAGTCCATGAGGCTTGCTCTATGCACTAGAATCCACAAAATGTCACAGAGATGCTTGAATGTATACTGGATATTACCAGATTCATTTTGAAAGATAGCAGCACTGAATTAATAGATCGGTAGTCCATTGCTAATGATTGTAGAGGTCATATATGCATTTCATTACCTCTAACGATGTTTGATGAAGTCGAGTGCATGGCGTATCTCTCAAGATTCGATGAAACCTTTATCTTTGATCTAAACTAAGTAGTTCTAATTCATTTATGCGCCAATATAATTTAATAATCTCGTTTTTACAGCAAATTGTTTTTCTCAACGCGGCAATCTCCCAAAGAGGATAACCATTTTATCCTAATGGTGTGCTTCCAAGGTTAGGGCGGCCTTGTAACGATTTCCTATGGGCTCATCAGTGGAGCGAAATAGTGCTGGATATTTATGCAGAGGTTAAACTAAAGGTGTTTCTCAAAACGTCCGAAACGAGAATAGAGCAGATACATATCGATATTTCAGTACCGATTACGGTCCACTTCTGGCAAAGAACTCTTACCACAAAGCAATTAGGAAACATAACAAGTCTTCGACAATAAAAGCAATTTCAAGCGGTTTTGATGTTCTTTACAGACCCGTTCATAATAAATCTTCTTCGTATGATTACGCATATAAGACTAGTGTTAAAGTCGTTTCTGTTAATTCTGTTATACACCACCTCTTATACTTTATAATTGGATTGTGGTAGAAGTTCATTACCAGAACTTTGATTATACATGATTGGTTTTCACATCTTCTGTGCGGATCCCACCACTCCTCACACTTGATTCGTTTCCTCGTATCCATTGTCCACGAAGATCTTCATACTTTTAAATGTGGCTTCAGCTGCCGCCTGAGGATTCTCATTTCAGAATCTCGTACAATGCTGGTCGAGAAACTCTCCCTGGGGTTCTGAGATAGCCAGACCGGAGCGCTCCCAATTGGATTGCAGAGAGTGGTTTTTTTTTCTCAAATAAGCCCGCTACGAATTTTCCGACCCTGCAGGATGACACGGAGCGGCATCGAACTAGCACAATGCTTGTGATGACAGAAATTACTATCGCTGTGCTATACGCCTCTTAATAGGATTATAATCACAGCAAAAATATGGATATCTCAATGTCTCTTCTAATCTCGTTACGAACTTCCATTCCACGCTTCCCGATCTTCTACTTTTCCCCAACAAATAGCTGGATGTCGAGGTTGAAGTTTTGCATCGAAAAATCTAAGAGCTTATCGTTGCGAAAAACATTCTCAAATAGGTGACAGAGTGCGTTTAGTTCAAATTACAAACTGCGCAGAATGATGAGAATTTTTTTATGATAGTGAACATGAAGTGGGAACTGAGAAAGAACTGTGGCCACATGTAAACAATCTTCTTCGGGTCGTTTTATGAGCATCGGAAAATGGCGTAATTTTTGACATTACCCGCTTTTGTTGCATTTTTGATGTAAGAGGAACTGAGTTGCCAACTTCGAAGTAATTTACTTGGCACTGAACAGTGTCTTAACTTCACCGAGTTCGTTGCTGAAAAGTGAGGTCAAAATCTTCGTAGGTCGAAGACAACCTCACCATAGAAACCGATCAGTTTCTGTTCTCCTGATTTCAACAATTAGAAACAGATGAAATGTTGTAAGTCTGTCCATCGAACTCATCATATCCACTTTTAAAAACCAACTTTATTCTAACGTTTATACTTTGCCCCGTTCGTGTCTTTGCAAAGAAGTTATTGCAAAGCCGTTATAGCTTTTATAACTTGATTTTCATAACTGTTATAAAAGTTTTATAAAAAACCCATATAAGCTCAATAATTTTGTAACAACTCAATTTTTGTAAGCTCAATAAAAAGACATAATCATTATGCGGTCAGTGAGATTTTCGAAAAGCTAGAATTAACTTTGCATTAATGAGATTATTAAATTATGTTGGTATGTAAATGAGAGAAAACTGCCGGTAGAGGGTAAAGCTCCCATCAATCCTAAAGGGATGCACCACACATTTGTCTTCTCAAACGTGGTTACAAGGAATTGAATGCATATGTGGCCTATACACTGACTCTCGATGGCCTTCTGAGGCATCGAATCAATGCTGCTATCTTCCCAGACGAGCCTTAAACCAATTTGTCAAGCCTGTAGGAACCGAAAGCTTAAGATTCAACTAATAACCACATATGCATAGCAGGGCACTTTTAATCACTGCGCTATAGGTGCACTTGCCTAGTCTTCAAGTTCCCTACATTACAGGGATTATTACAAGAATAACTCATTTATTTTCAGAAAGATAACGGAATTTTCAAATAGAAACCGAATCCATACGCAAATCCATACCGTGACATATACGCGAGAGCGAACCTAGTGAAAGAAGCGCTGTGCACACGTGATGACGAGTCGCATAAATAGAAAATGTGCTCACTGATATCATCGTTCAACACTTTAAATGTTCGAAACGTCTCGATCTTCTTCGTCTTCGGTGGGCCTTCCATATGTCATCGCGTGGCTCGGAAAATAATGTCTGATTTGTACTCTTATTTCTTTGCGCATGTTTTAACAATATTGCAAATTCACTTTATTCACTTTAGCCCCGTATAGTTGAATTATAATATAAATTGTGTTTTGGCGAGCTTTAAATAAAAGAATTTCAAGCGCCAAAACAGTAGTCTTGACAAGCGTACTTCTGCAAACGCAAACTCATACCAAGTGTGGTGGCTTAAAATATTGATGGAACATGTAACAATGAGGTGTTAACGAAAGCACTGTGTGCCGTCAGCTGTAAAAAATTCTTCGTGGTAACTTTGATCTTAAAGACGATGTCTGTCGTAGACGTCTTTCCGTTAGTGAGAACGATGTGTTCCTTTGGCGGTAGTAAATACACGCAAAGATCTTTCAGAACTTGCAGAAAGACCCGATGCAAGCATCACAACTATTTCGGAGCATTTGAAGAAGTTGGAAAGTCGAAGAAGTTCGACAAGTTAGTGCTGGACGAAGTAAGTGGTCAAAAAATTGTTACTCCGAGGTATCATTGAAGCTTCCGTTTTTCGACAGTATTGTGATGCGCGACCGTGACTAGATCCTCTATAATAAAATACCCCGCTCATTATCCGGACAGCGATGAAGCTCGGCTGCACCTTCCAAAGCCGAAACCTCACCGAAAAACCATGCTGACACTTTGTTGGCTTTGTTAATGGCTTGATCTACAGAGCTTTCTATTCCCGTGTGAAATGATTCCGACGGGAAAGCAAATCCAGCTAGCTAATCGGTAAAAACGCCAGAAACTTCTACTTTCTCTGCGAGAAATGCTTTCGAAATTAAGCCGAGACCGAAACTGCCTAGAACGACTTTTGCCTCCATAAGCCCAGAATTTTATGCAGCTGTCATAAGCTAAGTTGCTTCTCGTTGGCAAAATGTGTACATTCCAATAATTTTTTAGATCAATAAAGTTTTTTCTGGAGCTGATACATTCACCCTAAAAACACAAGTGTAAATTGAACACTAATTTTCGGATGACATTTTATTCAAAATTGCTTTGCACTTATCTGTGATATTATGAGCAAATTAATCGTCTTTTGTTGTTCATTGTGTCGCCAGTCCGTCATTCGGACTACGATAATAGAAATATAAAGCGGGGCTGTTAATGCTGTGAGCAGAAGGAACAACCAGTGAAGAAATGGCATTGCAACCAATCGATAGGTTATTCGAATCGCTAAATTTCTAATGTAAGCATCATAAATGCCACTTGAAATGCAAATAAGCAGTTGTCAAGAATAATAGATAAACGGGATGAGGAAAGTGAGGAGATGAGAGAGAAGAAAGAATGGATGAACTAGCAAGCACAGCGATGACTTTGATAGGTTGAAACTGTGGTAGTTTAGAGGACAAGCTTTTCTTTTCAGATGAAATGAGAACATTTTACTGCATGTTAAAAATTACTTGAAGAAAGGATTAGTTAAGCAAGTACGTGAAGCGAATCGTAGTTAGACTGCTTCCTCAAGCTTCATCGTATTGTCGATCCACGGGGAAAAATGGGCGGGGCTGCTGAAGAGTTGTCCGTTACAGAAGGAGAATACTTCTCAAGGTTCAGCCCACAAAACCTACAGCAGTCATTCCTGTTTCACCGCAGCTTTTACGATATATTGCTTACATTTATAAAACCTGCTTTCTTCAACAGCCTTTTTTCGACGGCGACTAAGGTGGTTGTTCACTTTGGCAAAGTTTGAATTGTCATATATGGTTAATAGTTCTCATATTTCAATGTTTTTTACTCGCTAACTGAAATTTTCTCTCATTTCACACTGCGACTCTGTTTTCTTTGATGTATATTCCCTCAGCTGTGGCGAAGATCTGTTAGTAGAACCTTCATGATGATTTCTGAACACGGTGTGCCGTGGCTTC